AAAAAAACTAAGTTAACGAGCTTAGTTTTGTCGAAGCGGCTTCTAGGTCTATTGACAAATCGAACCAAATGACCCGCCGAGGTCAGACTTTCCTTAATGTCTACATCTGGGACAGAATGATGGACACCACGGATGACAACACGATAAGATCTGTCTTCTTTTAACTGCCAGGAATGGTATGGTACCTTTTTAAGGGTCAGCGATTTGGTTATGGCTCTGTATGTGTCTGAATCTGATGCGAGAATGGAGACAGAGTTGTTGGGATGGCATTTCAGGGAGTATTTGGAAGGGTCAACAATCTTGTCTGTGGATCTTATGAGTCCGTTTATATTCTCACAGTGATCAACCACAATTGGGGGTGGTTTGTGGGAGGGTAGTTGCTCCTGGCTACCAGACGGTCGGATGACATTTTTGTTGTTGCCTGCGGTATTGTTGACGGCTTTTGTGTTTTTCTTGTTTGTTGTTGATGTGTTATTTGAGGTACTTTTGCTGTTGTTGCTAACTTGTCTTAAGCTGAAAGAAGAACTGGCTTCTTCAGAGACATTGGGGCCCATCGTTTGTGGGACTTCGACGGGTTCGGTGGCTGTGTCCATGTCCGACAGATCTGAGAATCGGTTGGCAGAGACATTGGTTTTAGGGCTATTGGAGTTTCTCAAGATTTTGGAGACAGAATTTGGTGATCTGGAGTCAAGACGGCGTTTGTTTGCCGGTCTTGGGGACCACCAGACCTCTTCGTCTCCATTTATGACTTCTAGTTCCGGTTCAGGATCATGGCTTGAAGGTGAGATGCTGAGGGGGGATGCAGGAGGTGGGGTAGCCTTAACTGACCTTAAGACCTGCTGGATTTTTCGCTGTTGTCGCGCCACAATCTTACTGATGTTAAGATCATCATCGGAGTCCGAAAGGCCAGACATGGTTTAAGTATTGGGCACAGATGTGCACTGCTTTACCGACTTCTTGTATGTATCGGCTCCTTGTCCGGCTACCTGCAAGGTGACCGTGGCTTAGTGGGCAAGGCGCAAGCCCCGCAGTCGGGCGGCACCCGGCTCGAACCCACCAAGTGACGGAGCAATTGAAATTTATTTGTCTTTTATTTGGGATGAAATTATTCTCAAACTCAATTTGACCTTGAATTTGATTTAAATCTTCACAAAATCTTCACTTGTTTTGTCTTTTCGAATCACTTGTTATCGCGTTAGTCAAAACTAACGGAGGTGGGATTCACAAGAGTAACAGTTCTTGCCACTGAGGTGGACTTGTCCATAGACTCTTCACAGTGAAATTCGCAGCGATGCAAAAACGCGTCTGCACTCCACGAAAGCATGATCGAGACTGACAAAATAAAAGTGAATCTTTATTACAAAGTGGTTAGAGAAAATATATGTGTGTTCGTCAGAGTTCTGGCATGTTGGCGTTTTGTTGTTGTCCATCAGCACTAGGGTTGCCGGGTCTGCTGTTATTCTGTGGCAGTGACAGGGGTATGTTAACTATGGCATGTTAACTCTTGGTCCGCTGTTATCATGTGGCCAGTGAGAGGGGTATGTTAACTAGGGGTATGTTAACTTGCGCGTATAATGCAGTAAGTTTTTGTGAGGCCGTATTCCTGACAATTCATGCATTGCACGGGACCATTCCGCTTATGGGGTTCCTCAACGGTGATCCTACGATGCAATAGGTATTGGAGCTTATAGATTGGGTGAACTTCATTGTTATATCCTTGCAGAACAAAGGAGTCACCTCACACCCCATAAAGTATATACATATGTTCTTGATCAGCATCACGATCAGAATCGAAATACGTCTGTTCATCTGTCCATTCGTCCGTCTGTCTGTTTATATGTAAACTAGTCTCTCAGATTTAAGGCTTTCTTGCTAGAACTTACCCAAAGTTGTGTAATCATTGCACGCAGTATATAAATCGAAAAAGGCTGGATCGGGCGACTATATTGGGTAGCTCCGTTACGAGAGATTGAAAAAAAAATTATCACTGCATTGTTTTTGATCATATCGACTTGAATTCTTCCAGATGGAATTAAATTTTATCCAAATCGGATAACTCGGATATCATATAGCTGCCATAGGAAAGATCGAAAAATACTTTTATATGGTAAATAATGAAAAAAATCATAACATTGTTGTTTTTATCCCACGGCCATGATTTTTAGAAAATCGACTTATTTAAATACCCCTGAATTGAAAAAATTTCATAAAAAAAGAGCGAAAAATCTATATAGAATTAATGGAAAAAACGAAAATTACAATTGAAATGAATATTTTACGGTGCTTTAAAATGGAGGACAGAGTTGAAAGTGTATGTGTTGCAAGAATATAACCTTTCAATATGGTATCTCCCGGAAAATATAATAATAGTACACATAAACCTTCATATAATTCTCAGACTTTCGAAGCGTATTTCGTAAGCGTCTACCTGACCTTTGGACAAGCTTGTGCTAAGGAAAATTATGAATCATAACTTTGAAAAAATAACTGATTTTATCGGTTTATTTGAGATAACACACCTTTCCTCAAATGCAGTTTGATTATTCGCAATTTTGTCTTGTGTATATACATATATATATATATATACATATATAGAAAAATTTTAAAACTTTTATAAAAAAAATTTAATTTAATTTTCCTATTAGAAATATGATTGTCAGTTTTCTTTCTCATAAATAGTTGTTTTTGTTTGTTAGGTATAAATTAGACTGCAAGAGTATATAAACATGAATATACCCTCTCGGTGCGCTTCGTTACTACGCGGACGGCCGACCACAGAACAGGCTAAAATAATGTCTTTATTACCAAGAGTGGATACAAGCCTACTATTTAAGTTGGACATGAGAAGTAAGACATTTTTACTTCACTTATGTACAGATATGTAAGTTTGTTATATGTTCTTGCAAAGAAAATTTTGCAAAACATCCTCAAACATTTAAAAACAGTACTAATTAACATACGGCGTACAGTGCAAAAACCTGTTTACCTATATGTATGTACATAGGTACATAGTACATGCATACATATGTACATATTTCAACATAAATACATACATACCTTTAAACATACTAATAACAAGAAAGGAAGCTATAGCTTCGGCAAGCAGATGCTTACATACATATGTACATACATACAGTGGCTCACAGCTTATTTGACCCACCTTGTAAATTCAAACTAAAGTTTGAATAACTTTTTAACTAAAGCAGATATTAAAAAATAAAAACCCAGGTTTTTCGGTGGGTATTACAGGAATAACAAAGAACTTAAAGTTTATTTAAATAACAAAAGGTTTCATAACTTATTGAACTTATTCTTCGATTTGGGGTTCAAACTTATTATTGCGAGAGAAATACAGTACAAATTATAAAACAAAAATTATCCATCCCAATTTTTAGGTAAACAAAGAGGTTATATTTGAAAAGTCAACCATAGCAAACAAGTACAACTTTCAGGTTCTGTGGTTCCAAGGGGGGGGAAATTTCCTAATTGCACTGCAAGGGTATAAAAAGTGACGATATTTCTTTGTCAACCATTTGTCCTCAACAAATTTTATATCGTCCAAAATTTGAACCATAATTTGTAATTCTATAGACCTTTAAAAACATGTTTTTTTTTAAATATAATTGTTTGATTTAAAGAAACAGAAACATGTGAACTACATACGCTTAAAAATTTGTGTGAGGGAGTAAGTCCTATAACCTTGGGTGAATATTAAAAAAAACAAGAAAGGAAGCAAGCTTCGGCAAGTCGAAGCTTATATACCCTTGCAGTCATTAAATATGTCAGACAGAATACATAAAGGCTAACAACATCGAATCTATGACGATTTTTCTATTATTTATCATATTGTTCATATGACAGCTATATGATATAGTCGTCCGATTTTGATGAAATTTAATTTGTAACTCAAGACTCATTAGAAAACTCTATATTCCAAAAATCATGATTGTCTGATGAAAAACAACGAGGTTATAATTTTATTTCCGTTATTTCTATATAGATTATTCGATCTTTCCTATGGCAGCTATATGATATAGTACTCCGATTTTTATGAAATTTTTTTCTCGAACGACATTATAATTTTTTTCCATTATTTATATATATTTTTTTTGATCTCTCCTATGGCAGCTATATGATAGAGTTATCCGATTTTGATAAAATTTAATACGAAATTCAATAGCAGTTAGAAAACGCCATCTGGAAGAAATCAAGTCGATCTGACTAAAAACAACGGAGAAAGAATTTTTTATTTCATTCTCTTGTATGGGAGCTATCCGATATAGTCGGCCGATCCGGCTCGTTCCGACCTATATACTGCGTGCAACAACTACACAACTTTTGGGAAAGTTTTAGCGAGATAGCTTTAAAACTGAGAGACTAGTTTACATAGAAACCGACAGGAGGACAGACGGACAGACAGACAGACAGACAGACGGACAGACGTACAGACGGATTTGGATTCTGATCGTGATGCTGATCAAGAATATATATGCTTTATGGGGTCTGAGGTGTCTCCTTCACTGCGTTGCAAACTTCTGACTGAAATTATAATACCCTTTTGCTCTGCAAGGGTATAAAAATGAAGTTTAGTTACCAAAGTGAGCAAGGTGTAAGTAGTATATGAAGAACTCTATTTCTCGTATCTGCAACCCGATATCAAGATCAGCAAAACAAAGTCGAGTTAAATACTAGAAGGCGTTGCCAACATAAGGAATTGAACAACTCAGCTAGGGTCTCACAAAAGATTTAAAAATTCAATTATTTGGAGTTTTTGTTGAGTTCAAGAGACGCCAAAATGTATGAAAGTACATTTCGGTGGACCTTTTTTAAAGGTGTGAAGAAATTGCTGTTAACATGCATGCTGCCATTGCAACAGGGAATTTAAAATTTACGTGTCTCGTTTTTTGTTGCATCTTTTCAAATAAATTTTATTGATAGTATGACCACATCACATGCATCACCGATGACACCGAAAAATTCGATCACACTGGAATCTTTCTAACCTAGCAAACATATTCTTTGGACTGCATATTGTGCTTAACGGTGCACTAAAATAAGCTTTAAAATATAAAAAAGCAGTAATTTTTCCCTTGAAAAGAAATCAACGTCATTTGTATGTATGTACATATCGAAATGTACGTATATACTTATGTGTGTAGTTACGAAATCGTTAATTTTCTTGCGAAACTTCAAAAGTTGTAGAACCAGGGACGGGGACACAGGAGGATGGTCCGGACCCTCCGAACCCAACATTTTTCGATCGGACTCATCCAAAATTGTTTTTCTGCGTCGGCTTCTGTGTAGAACAAAGATCGTAAAAAGCAAGGAACCATAATAAGTGGTAGGATATGAAGAAAATACGAAGTAAAAACATTCCTTTTTATGAAAAAATTAACGCTGTTTTATTCTTGCTCTTCTAAAACCAATTCAATTTAGATACATATACCATTTTTATTATATCGGCATATTGTTATTGGTATATTATTTTTATTGTATATTATTATTGATTGCATTATATTATTATTGTTGGTTTTCCCACTTTAACGGTTGTCATCGTCACTACGTGTTGTGCCTTCCACAATTTTTCAAAGCAAACAGTTCCCTTAAATTTCTTACTGTCTCTTTTTTTCCTTTTTCTTTTCTGTATCGACGGACAACATAATTCCAAAGGCCAACTCGGCTCAATTTCTTGATAATGATGATGCTTCAATCTGTGCCTGCTCTGTCGGTTAATGAAGAAAGAAACTGGATTTCGTGTATGAATAAATTTGTATGTATGTATGTGTACAGATATTCACATATAGTGCGCATGTATATATATGGAATTATTTATGTATGTATGTGTGTCGATACGATGAAATTGTTTTTTCCTTTTGGGTTTTGATCCGCTGACTAATTAAGCCTTTAAAATTTATACTGGACCAAGAAAACAGGGAGAAAATAAAGTCATTGGGCTCCGCACCCATAAAAAGCTGTGATAGGAAAACCAATGGTTTGGGAAAATACATATGTACATATGTACACATGTAAACAAAATATGTACGTACTTACATACATATGTATATTTCTGTGCATGTACATACATTTATATTTATGTAGGTACAAATATGTTTATGAATAAGTTTGTATATTAACAATATTTACATATATGAACATACATCTTAAATAGATCTTCATATTTACATATACTTATTAATTTAGAATTTAGACCCGGAGAGAATTAAAGGACAGTTAACAATAGCTTTGATTTTTGCAGTGTCAAACCCCTTTAAATGTTTTGTGATTTCTTCCAACACAAAAAATTACATACTGTACATACATACATATGTATGGAAAACGAAAGCTAGCTTGGGCTTTCCGAATGTCCATGCAGTGTAAAAAATATACACATCGTTTTATTTCTATTTGTTGTTCGGAATGTATCAGAATAGTACCTGGGCAGAACATAAAAAAAACACGTTACCGTTCACATTTTTTTTCGAGTTTTTGGGGCAATACTTGCTTACAATAGAATGGATACAAAATTTTCCTTCAGGAATGTACATACATACATACAGTTTGCTCTTAATACTCGTACATACTTCAGTAAGAATATGACATTGTATTATTTTGTTTTTGCTCTTGTTATTATAGTCATATTTTTAATTATGAACACTGCAGTTAAATCCAAGTATACATATACGGCATTAAAGTTACATACTATGTATCCTTGTACATATTATATGTTTTATGTATGTATATACATTTAAAGGAATACATATATGTACATACATACATACAAAGTAAAACATATTTCTTGACCACTGTGCTGTGCAATGCTCGCACATTTTTATCCACAAACTCCTTAATCTTTCCGTGTGATACATACTTACTATGTACATATGTATATGAACAGGCATGTACATTTTCAGACAATGCAGATGCGCATATTAGAATTTATAAATACATATATATATATATAAATATATATATAGAGATCAAATATATATATATATATATATATATATATATATATATATATATATATAGCATATACATGTATATATATACATACATATGTATACATCTTGTTATAAAATATCTGGTTTTCTGTTTCCGAGAACTGACAAAACGTTTCTCATAAAAAGAACGCATACACACTTTCATGCACGTGCATACACGAACATGCATACATACATATATTGGTGCAATTAAGTATAGATGTGAGTATAAGGTTTGAATATATGTAGGTATGCACACATTTAGCCACATGCAGATACATACACACGTATGTATGTATACAACAGCCGCACAGCTTGCGTTCGCTCCTTTCACAGAAAGAAGACTTGAGTAAGACGTTAAAATTGCAAAGGGCACATTATACGACCGTAGAAGCGCACAGCAAGAGCGTTTTAAGATCCCAGATTCAATCCTGCTGTGCACTTGCAGACAAAAAGGTACATACTTACATACATACATACATATGGGGGATAATTTAGAAAACAATTGTTGCGCCTTGTTACCAAGAAGTTTTTTGATATGTATGTTTTATGTATAATCGTATGTACATACATACACATATGTACATATATTTACTTTTAAGACTGTGCTGTGTGTATGTACATATTATTTTATTCATACATGTATAGAGGCATAATTTGTCGTACATTTATGTACATACATACATACATACGTACCGAAGAAAGTACATACAACATATGTTGATTAATATATGGATGTACGCACATACAGTATTTGAATTCGTATTTTCCTTAATTTTTGAAGGCATCATGTATGTACATACAAACATATACATATGTATTAACATGTGGTGTACATACATATGTACATATAAAAAAAATTAAGTAGTATACAAAAATATAATTATAATATTTTCAATCAAGGTTTATATGTACCTTCTACACCATACATATGTACATATGTATGTATATATTCTTGATGTGCAGCTAAATCAAAACAAACATATGTATGTATGCATGTGTATGAACATGGTTTGGAATGTATGCACATATGTATGTATGTCGTACGTCGCCCTAGTTCCACGCAAAATATTCATTTAATTTTAAAAGTACCAATTTTAAAGTATCTAGTATCTTTGCCCATTTTATTGGTTGATCCAGCCGTTTTTTCAGTGATTTCAAAGTCTAACTACCCATCCCGCAGTGCAGAACCTTTAAAGGACGTGCTTGAAACTTAGATAAAATCTTTTAGCTGTAGATTTTTAACCAAAAGGTTGAAAAAAAAATTGTATCGTGCATGCTTAGTTTCTGACTAATTTCTTGTTAAAAACGGTATCTTAAGAAGATTTATCTTACTTAGCAAAATTCACGTTCAACGGTAAGTCAGGGTTATGTTCAAAAGTTACCGTAAATTTTAAATTATTTGTACAACCATTTAAAAATTATTTTTATAAATTCTCTAACACGTAATCCCCAACAAACAAGAAGTTAGCGCGGCAAGCGGAATCTTAGTGTATATGCCAGTCTTCAAATATGTACATATGTCGAAGCTGTGTGTTAAGATTTTATATAGTAGCTGTATGACATAATGTATACATAATACTCGTGGGATAAAAACAACTACGTTATCAGTTTTTTTTTATTTCCTATCGCAGCAATATGTTATATGTAGTTCAGGGGCGGACGCAGAAAAAAATTTTGGGGGGGGGTCCGATCGAAAAATTTTTACGTTTGGGGGAGTCCGATCAAAAAATTTGTTCCTTTGGGGGGTCCGACCAAAAAAATTTTAGTTTTTATGGTTGAAAAGCCGTGTGCTGTAAGGAAATTTAAAAAAGTCTGAGATTTTGGGGGGGGTCCGGACCCCCCGGACACCCCCCCTGCGTCCGCCCCTGATGTAGTTTAAAATTTTCATCAAATTTAATTTGAAATAGTAGTTAAAAAACACCATCCAACGTCGTCGTAATTTTTTTTCGATCTCTGTCCGTCTGTCCTCCTGTCTGTTTTAAAAGTCGGAACTTCTGAATCGGTCGACTATATCGGATATGTCCCATACGAGAGATTGAAAAAATTCTCACTCCGGTGTTTTTGTTCATATCGACTTGATATCTCTCAGATGGTGTTTTTCAACTATTATTGAATTGCGAATTAAATTTTATCAAAATCGAATTACTATTTCATATAGCTGCCATAGAAAAGACCGAAAAATATATTTGTAAATAATGAAAAACATAAAAGAACGCTACCTTCGGCAAGCCGAAGTTTATATACTTTCTGGAGTGTCTGGGGGTAGAAAGAAACTTTTCTAAAGAAAGGTGTTTTCAATTTTAATAAACAAAAAAATGTAAACTAATTATTCAAAAGTAGAATTGTTAAAAAATATTAGGAGAACATATAAAAAGTAACTTGGTGCCCCATTGACATTTTGAAACACTTTACTCTGGGTGTTCTAAATTGAGATTTGCCGACGGCCTCCTATCAACTTAACAAAAGGTATTGAATATGTAATGAATATGTGTAATATGTAATGAATACATATGTAACGAAAACAACAGGTCGAGTTTTAGCGAAAGAGAAGAAGAAGAATTCCAGCCGAATCATTCCAATGAATCTGGTCACACGTTGCTTGAAGTGGTTTAAAAACAATTTGTTCATTAAAAGGTAAAAATTAAAGTGTGCGTAATTGTGAGAGTTTGTATTACTCAATCATTTAATTCTTGATCGATCAGCCCGAAGAGCTGTGCTTATAGACATATATTTATAGAGTCAATAATAAAATTAAAAAAATTGCGCATGCGATCGAAGTAGCGGACATTCTTTGAGCGAAGTTGATCGCTCCTAAAATAAAAAGATCTTTAATCTTTTATGAGTGGTTGTGTGGTTAGCAATGTGGGTGGGTGGTTATTTAGTTATTTCAATTTAAATAAGCTTAGCACTTGGAATCACCTGGTCAGTCTATGCATCCCACTTCTTTCTTGACGAAAGAATTATTATGTATTACCATACAGGTGTCTTAAAATGTAGTATTTTTGCCTTACAAAGTCCAAAATACTCTAATGAAAAAAGTATCCTCGATAAACCGTGTTTCATTAAGCAGAGGTCGGTGAGCTCTAAATAAAATTACATATTTCACACATTTTCGCGAATTTTTGCTATCAAACAGCCTTAACAGTCTTAAAAAGTACATTTGATTGAAGTTAGCTAAAGAATACTCGGGAATAAAGAACTAAATGAACAATAGACTTAAGGGGTACTCTTAACTTTTCAAAAAATTCACTTTTTTTCAAAATTTATTATATGATAAAAGTGTAAGGAATGTTGTCCGAAAATTTCAAATCAATCGGAGGAGAACTGTAGGAAGGGGGAAAACTTAAAGCGCGGTTTTCCAGACTGTTTCAAAGAGTTTGAAACTTTGAACGCGTTTTTCTTAAAACGAGTTTTTTTTAAATCGGTAGTTAAATTTTTGCGAAAACTATTGCATCGATCGACTTTTTCTTTTGCACACTTCTTTTAAAAATGTTTTTCTTATCGTTGAACAAAGGATTTTTATTATTTTCAATTGCAACTTTTTTTATAGGACGAAATAGGGTTAAAATGTGCATACAAAAACGAAACTTTTTATATAAACCTTATAAAAAATTTAATTTTTAATAAAGAAAAAAATCCTTCGTTTAAAGAAAAGACACATACACTAAAATAAAAATTTTGGATTTTTGATTTCAGATGAAAATTGGCGGAGAAAATACAACTACTGCCAGGGCACTATTTTTGATATGGTCACCTTTACAGATTTTCAACTACAATCTGTAAAAATTTGAAAAGATTATATTATTAATATTCAATTAACGAACATTGTAAAAATATCGCAGGATCAAAATCAAATAATTACATATATAATATAGCGAAATATCCAAAAATGTATACATAAATAATGGAAAAAATGATGACGTTGTTGTATTTTATTTTACGAGCAAGATTTGTAAAATATCGAGTTTTTTACTACCCTTTAATCGAAATTTCACAAAAATTGGATAACTAACGTAGGAGAGATAAAAAAAAAGAAATTTTGACGCCATTGGATGGTGTTTTTTAACTACTATTGAGTTTTTAATTAATTTTTATTAAAATTGGATAACTATATCATATAGCTGCCAAGGGAAATGAAAACCAATTGATACTGTAGTTGTTTATGAAATTTACTATATTATAAAGCTGCTGTAGGAGAGATCGAAAAATTAATAAAGCGGAATATTATAACATCGCTGTTTTTCATGTTTATTATGTTTACTGGAGTAAAGTGATTTCTAACGACTCTTGAATTTCGAATCAAATTTATGTCATTTATGTCACGACTATGTCATATAGCTCTCATATGAACAATCGTCGATAATATACCTACAAAATTAGTTATATCTTCTATATCTAGTTATGTCTTCAAGTTCACATAGAATCAAGCAGAGGCACAGACGGAAAGATCTAAATCGACTCAGTGGTGATGCTGATCAATAATATACGAATATAATTATATGTTCTTCTCAGATGTCTCCTATATATGAATATAAATAAAGATAGTTCAAGCATTGTTTTGCGATAAGTTGGAGTTGCAAACAACTAACAACTAATAGGTAAAAATCACTGGATCACTGGATATGGGGTGGAATGCTTAGAATGTTTCATTTTTAACTATGTTTCCCTCTTGCTTTTAATTAAATAAATTTATTATTAATATTAGATGTTCTTTTATACGTGTCTCTATACTAATACAAATTTGTTTTACACCTTTTGCACCTGATTGCGAAGCACACAGGATGACAGCGAAAACAATAAACTAAAATTCTGAAGAAACACTTTCTGCCCGTCTTGGTCTTGAACACATTACCTCTGGTCCAAACCAGAGTTTGACTGAAAAGTCAAACACGAAGATATATAAAAATGATTGTTTCTTAAAGCAGTATTAAATTAATTTACTTCCCCTATCATATACAGTATTTTTGAGTTTAAATTTATTGCAAATCTATACACCCAAGTTAAAGTTTAAATTTAAGTCCTACAACTACACTGCTTCTCAACATCTGAGCAATAATGTGGGTTTTTGGGGTTCAAAATTAATTGTTGTGTATATTACTGAAATATATATTGCTTAAAATAAGAAATAAAGTTATTACATTTCTAATCGTTGTCTGCAAAAACCTTTAACTTTTCAATATTTACTACGTAGTGTGCGCACGAATTGTGCTTTGTACTTCTACAACAATACAATTCCGAAAAGATAGACCTGCAAACAGTACAACCTCACAAATAGAGAGATAAGCGGAAGCAAAACGATCAATGGTAATCAAAAAGGGCCCTGCAAACTTTTGTCTCGCTTTTTAATGCCCACTGCAAGATAATAATTAAGAAATTCAAGCGACTTTATGCACAAAAAACACTTTTTTACCTATTTATTTAGTTTTATTTATATGTGTGTATATATGCCTTACCGATTATATATAAATAGGCACACGAACGCTCTCGAAAACGGCAGAAGAGAAATATTTACCAAGTGAGAGATAAAACTGAGAGGACTGCAGGCGATTGTGAGAGTGAGTGTTGCTTCAATGTGCGAATGTAGGCGCGGCTAATGGCTTATACGCTTTGAGCATAGTAAATAAACAATTATTATTATAAAAAACAATGGAACTTTGGGCTTTAAAAAACCAGTAATATATTTAAAGTTAAATAAAAGAAAACTTACTTTACTTACATAAAACTTATGTATGTTAAATATGATTTTATTTTTACATTAGCAGAAAAAAGCTAAATTGTCATCACTGCCACGATAAAGTATCTTCGGCTCGTGTATGTGCGTTGTGTAGCCATCTTCGATCTGCCCGCCTTCGCCGTCTGCGTGTGATCTGTGGGCACACACAGATACACAATTCAGCGTCTCACTTGTTGTTGTATTACTTATATAAGTGTGTTTGTAATTCAACGTGTATCTATGTTGGCATCGGTGTCTGTGCTCTTTCAAAAGTATTTGTGGAAGAGCGGAGATTCGAACTGCTTCATCTAAACTAAAGAAGCGTTGCAAGAGCTAGTGCTAAAACCGCTCAGTCTACTCGTAAGATACACAGCATTAAGACGCAGCATACACCGTAATTTACTTGGTTAAACAATAACGATTTGTGTTATTCATATACTTAAAATTTTGTGATCAACACCCAATAAAGTTTATAAAAACATTAAAAAAAAGATTCGCGTATATACTGCAAAAAGTTCAGTTGGTTAAAAATTTAAAACAATAACATATAAATTGAATTGTGTTTTTTTATCAAAAAGTCTTTGATATTCAATATTCCTTAAAACGTGTTTGATAAAAAATGTCTTACAAACGTTTCAAAAAGTGCCGACGGTGAATCTTCAGAAAACACATTTAATTGGTTTCTCACAATTTCCTAACTCAACGTTCTTCAATTATTTAAAAAATGGACGCCTACGCTTTACCCACATATTTTCCACTTGCGTAAGTTTTTTCGTTTTTAAAGTCGAATCTTTAATTGATTTATGAAAAAAATAAAATAGAGTTAGTTTAATTGCATGCCATCATCGAAGGTAACACGGCGATTACGTTCCTAGAAATCCTCGTGTTAAGCGAAATATGGATTCAGTAAAAAACAATGGGTTATAGTTTATATTTTAAGCCAGATTGTTTCAACAAAATATATGTATATCGATATGGGAACAAATTTGTACGTGCTAAAACAGTCAGTTTTAAGAGAGGGCTAAGTGTATTATATGTATTTTTAACTAGAAGTTTGCCACGCAGTAAAGGAGTCACCTCAGACCCAATTAAGTTCACAAATTCTTGATTAACATCACCATCTTCGTCGTATGCAAGTTAATCTTTCAGTTTTAGAATCAGAATCTTTCAGTTCAGGGAATCACAAATCGGCCCGGATCGGTCGACTATTCAATAAATAAATAAAAATCAAGCAAGGAGGGAAGTTTTGGCGTATAAACCCTTTTATTTTAGAACCTTAATGCAGAAAACGACTAAACTATGCCATACTTGTTTTAGTTTATGATATAGTAGTCCGATCTTTTTAGAAATAACTTTTTAATATCTATTATCTAACGAATTGCTCATTGCCGAAAAAACTTCTTAAATGCCTAACAACATTAAAAAGTATTATAAAATATATATATATTTTTTTAATTTTGTAAATTTCTCCAATTTGTGTATAATTAAATAGGTAAATTGCGAGTAAAACGTTCTCAAAATCAAATTCTTCATTAATTTTTATATTTTAATAACAGCTATATGATATAGCATTTCTATATTTTTAAAAATATCTTTAAAACATTTTTAAACATATATTATCCTAACTAATTTCTCAGAAACTACTTTCTAACAAATTCTTAAAATTATGCTTATTTGATAAAATACAACGACGTTATAATTTTGTTACTATTAGTTATATATAAATGAATTGATCGTTCTTAAGAAAGATTTTAAATCAATCGTTGCAAAAAAACTTGATATTCCAATAATCATGGTTATGATTTTAAAACAACTATGCTATAATTTTGTATAGATTCATATAGATTTTCTATGGCAGCTATGATGTTGCTAACCATTTATGTATCATGAAATTTAATTCGAAACTCGCAAGTCGTACAAAAGACAAAATGTCAAAAATCATGTCTGTATGACAACAAAAAAATTTGCCTTCTAATTTTTTCACGTTATTTTTTCAACCTTTTTATGGGAGCTATAAGAATAAGTCGTCCGATCCAGGACTTATTTACTGCGTGCAATAACTACATAACCTTTGGTAAAGTTTCATCGATAAAGTGAAGGAGACACCTCACACTCCATAAAGTATACATATATATTCTTGAATTAATGGAAATTAATTGATAACGTCATTGATTTTCATCTAGTTGTGTGATGCTGATTTTTTAAATATAGAGTTTCCTAACGACTCTTGAATTACGAAATAAATTGTATCAAAATTGGACAACTATATCATATTGCTCTGCATGGATATAAAAAAGGATACAACAAAGTTATTACGACTTTACCATTAATTATACCCACTACTAGTAGCCCAAAGAGGGAAAGAAGTATTTCTTGAAAAGTATGTATCAGGCAGAAAAGTCATTTAATATCAAATAACATTTATTTATTCTTAATCAAGACAGATATCATATATGTATAGCTGTGCGTTCTTTCGGGAACCATGAAAGGTAAATTATTGGGATTGACAACTCAGTTTTTGGATATGCTTTCTGTTTGCTTTCTGTTTGTATGCTTTTTTAGTGATAAACAAGAATAGAAGCAGACTTTGGCGAGCCTACACTTACATATATATCCTTGCGGTCATTACAAATGTCAAGCAAAATGCATAAAGGCTAAACAACATTGAGGTTATAGTGATATCTTCTATATTAGTATTATATTAATTTCTGCAGCGTATCCGATGCATCAAATTCTCAACGGAGGGGTAAGGTACTCTGCAAAGTTTCTAGATATGAAGCCGGTTTGGGTTCTAGATATTATGTCGCAGGACGGCAGAGGGTTAGCACTAGATACTTTAGAAAATAGTGCTTGATGGTAGGAGCTGACTACTCTAAAAGGTTCATGCTGGTTATAGTTAGATTTACAATAAGCTAGCTACAATTTATAAAAACATTTAAGCGACCCAACAAATTGACATTCCATCTTAACCCCGTATAGCAATAAAAATCTGCGGCTTGAGAGGCTAAAGTATTAAGTAGCAGTCTATATGAATAAGATGGAAACAAGAGGCTTGCATTCCAATTAAGCTGCATAAGGCATGAACAATTAGTTTGTTTGGGGTCCAAAAGGACGCCAAGATCGTCAACCACTGTTATTCTTTTGCATTTCTATTCACTTCGCGTATATTGCTGTTTATCCTGAGCAAATATGGTCAGCTTGTACTTTATAAATGTTGGGATTGTAGGCTTTGATAGGAATTTGTTTATATGCTTTTATTGTTTATTATTATTGTTTATATATATACAGGGTAAGAAGTAAGGACCCCTATGGATACTAGATAATTAGTTTGTCCTGCCACTGAAGTAACTAAAAATCCAATTGAGGGGATCAGCTTGAACCCTTTCACGTCAAGTTTATGTATTAACAGAAAGTGATTTACTGAGTCAAATGCTTTGCCGAAGTTAAAGTTAATGTCATCAGTTAGATCTTCGAAAAAACACATACTGACACATACCTTTGTATAGGTACTGCACATAAGGAGTTAGAGTTCGTTCAAAAAGCTTTGAAATTGCTGAAAACTTAAAAATACCTTTTAGTTTGCATTCGAATTTTTTCTTTTTTGGTGAAGCCCTGCAAGCATGCAAGTTTTTAAAGACAAGCTTGTGAAGGAGTTTATACAGAGCAAAGATTTGTGATAAGTCTAGTCATTTTCTACATTTAGATTTGCAAGGGTAAATAAGCTTTTGCGGGCCAAAGCTACTTTCCTTTCTTGTTTATTATACAATAACGAATTCTCGAATATAAGCTTTTCTAACGACCCCTAAGTTACGAATTACATTTTTTTGAAGTGAAACTTCTTTAGGCGCATGAGGGTAACATTTTTACAATTGTAACGGTAACGTCACGCAAGTATGCAACGGAAGTGACGAAAAGAAAAAAGAGAGAGAGAGAGCGATCGAGACCGATTGAGAGAGAGTACGACAGGGCAAACGTGAAGCAACTAGCGATGGAATGAGAATAGGAAGCAAGCAAGTGAAAAAGATCGAGAGAGAAAGATCACGCATAGAGTCATGGTATAATAAGTATAAGGTAGTCTTATAAGTGCGAAAGGAACAGAATAAGATGTTGTTTTACCCTTACGCTGTGCATGGGGGTTTAAAAAGAACTGTTTAATGATAATGAATACTAACTGTTCCGTAATTTTTGTTTTGTACCCAGAGCTGTTCCTCAGGATTCGCTCCTATATTGTCAACCCTTTAAAAGATTTTTCTGCAATAGTAAATGTCACGCCTTGTATGTGCTTGCTGCAATAATTGCAAAAAGTATTTTTTCATAAGCACACAAGAGTTAACGATTTGATAAAAAATCTTCGGCGTACAAAGAGTCTCTTACGAAAACCAGAGCGTTCTGAACCATAGGGGAGTAAACCCGAACAGTTCTACCGGCGACGAGACTACCTTATACCTTTTGTACCATGGTGCCATGGAGCGAGAGAGCTAGTGAGAAAAATTGAACGAGAGAGAGAATAAGGTTTATTGAGAAATATTGGTTTTTGTATTCGTTTACTAGTTAATTATTAGAACTTTAGATGGAAAATCTGTCGCATAAGGTCATTTGCAGTAAACGCATTTTTTTGTTTATCTATTTACAATATTATTACCACTTATGCAGTGTATAAACAGTTAGTTAAATTTATAAATAAACTTTATGAATAATTTTTGTGATACATTTTAAAGTCGTCCTGTACTAAGCAGTTACTCGAAGTAGGTAATATATCTGTTTTCTTTTTGTTTATTTACAATTTTTAGGCCAATTGGATTGAAGGTTAGGTAGTTTTAATATTTACAAATAACAAATTAATATTAACACATAACATACCTTGCAACTCGTCATTTAATAATGCAATAAATCATATTCCATAAAATAAAAATATGTATTTGATAAATTCGCTTTTCTAAATTTTAAGTTCAGAAACAAAATTTAAATAACTTTCAATATTTTAATGACAATTAAATTCCTAACATATTTTCCTTTTGATAAATTAGTTCGCCAAAGAAGTTTCACTTCTGACATGTGTACTTTGTACGCACGCACTTTTTTTTTGTTTTTATCCCCTTTCAGAGGGCATTATAATTTTAGTCAGAAGTTTACAACGCAGTGAAGAAGACATTCCAGACCCAATAAAGTATATATATTTTTGACCAGCATTTGAAACGAAATACGTGAAAAAAAGTATTAAAAAATACTTAGAAAACAAGCCTGTGGCTGTTAATCTTCCGAAGCGCCTAAAGAAAAAGTTTTTTGCGGTGAACATAATAACATTAAAATTAACGGATCATCTTTAAAAAAAAGTGATATGCGCTGTAAAGATTATGAATTTCTCGAGGTAATCAGGAAGAATTTTTTTCTAAATTTTTTTATTGTCTATTTTTGGGAGCACTTGAAAGTGAAAAGTGCGATTTTAGCTGAAAAAAATCGCTGTTAATTTATTTTTTAAAAATAGAAAAAAAATAAAAATTAAAAAAAACTCTTCCTGATTACCTCTTTTGAGTTCACCGACTTTCAAAATAACGTCTTCGGCAAAATCGATTCAAAGTATTTTTATACGTGAAATTCAAAATCCAAATACGGTAGTTTAAAACGCTGTAACTCCGTTAGTTTGTCTTTAAAAAAATACAAAAAAATAATTTTTAAAACCTTACCCCCCCCTTAATTCAAAAACATGGGTTTTTCAAAATACTGAAAACAGAATAAGCTTAAGCTTAAGTTGCACATTTTGCATTTGCCGAATTTACGCATTCAGTTTTATTCGGAAAAAAACTAAAAACTAGAAATATAACGGGACATCTCATGGAATGGCTATAAGGTCTGCACACGCAGTGTGACGTCGGCATTGCACTTCGACTCTCTCTTTCTCGCAGCAGCGCTGTTAAGGCGACAGCTAAAACTAACAGAGAGTAGTGACAGTGTAAGATCCTTCGCTGCTACGCACACAAGCAAGGGTGCCGATCACTGATAAATACATACATTTCTGACAGCTTGCTTTGACGCTCAAATTTGGTACTATTGCACTGTATTTTTTTTCGGCACAACGCAATTATCCGTTTGAATTTTTTAATTTTTTTTTTAATTTCGTTCGGATATGCGGTTTGTCGCTAAAAGCGGAGACGCTCTAAGCGGAGGCCCTTACATATAAGTTTGCATGGGGACCACCCAGCGGAAAAAAACCTGTGGAAAATATGCTATTTTCCAGTGGTTTCTTCATACAAGCGGAATGTGGAAAACCTCCTTCACCCCTTACACACCCCTTACCACATACACGGGGGTGACACACAAAAGGAAGGGGTAAAGGCGGTTTTCCAGTGGCTCTACAGCTGCTGAAAGCAGGACAAAATCCACTGGATTTTTCCCTTACCGCTGAACAAAAACCTCCTTACTTCGGTAAAAACCCACCCCCGAAATCGGTCCGAAATCGTCTATCCCCTTACCTACGCCTGCTAAAAGAAGGAGGTTTTCCAGTCAAATAAAAACCTACTTCTCACTTTCCCGCTGGGCAACCAAGCCATCGAGTTTTCGGCGCAAAACCCGGACGGACACTATAAGCGGAGTCGTTATAACAGGATTCTACTGTAGTTGTCATATAAACAATCGTCAAAAATATGGAAAATTAATAGAAAAATCGTCATAGCTTCGATGTTGTTTATTCTTTATGTATTTTGCTCGACATATAATGTTTGATGACTGCAAGGGTATAAAAGCTTCGGTTTGCCGAAGCTAACTTCCTTTCTTGTTTTTTTAATAAAACTTTTCCATTTTCGCGCCCAAAATCTTTTTTAAATTGTAAAAAAGCAACCGGAATTTTTACCAATATATTTTTTAAAATGACTATAACACGTTCGATCTTCATTAATTTTAGACTATGTGTGACTATACAAATATTTGATTTAAGCTGTAAAATGCTCTTAAATGTTTTTAGGGTGGTTATTAATATTTGTTATATAAAAGCTGCAAAGCGATAGAAATTGATACATTTTGCACAGAAATATAGTACTTTTATCAGCTCAGGTTTAGTTGGAAAAACTGGTGTAGATATGTCCAGTTTTGAAGCAACCTCATCGACTTTGATATTTGCAATAACTTAATCTTGCAATAACTAATCTAACTGTTAATAAACTACAATAAGTGAAATATATTGCATTTATTTTTCTGTAGATATTCTGAATTGCAGTTTTTAGCGTCCAGACGAGCTGCTGCTGTGGCTGCCGCGGCAACCGTTTTGCCAGGCTCTCCGTGCATTAACCATGTTCATACAACAGATGTTTCGAGTTCTGTAACAGTTCCATCCATAATTCCAACGGTGGAAGCACCACCGGCCACCTCAGTTCAACCACCTGTAATTAATGGAGGCGGTCTTCTTGCAAATAATTCTGGCCCCCATCCCAATCACCAGCATCAACATATACATAGTTTAACTGGACAAACTCACGGACATGAATTTCATCCAGCTTATAGAATTCCCGGATATATGGAACAATTATACTCCCTTCAACGAAGTAGCCCCACAGCTTCCTTCCATGGTATTGATTCTATACACGTTCAGTCATTTGTCAATTTCAAATATGTATAAAAATCTTTCAGATCCCTACGTGAACTGCGCTTCAGCTTTTCACCTTGCCGGACTTGGATTGGGATCAGGAGACTTTTTGGGAAACCGCGGCATGGGTTCTCTGGGTGATCTGCATCATGCGGCAGTGGCAGCAGCTGCCGGATCTCTAGCAAGTACTGATTTCCACTTCAGCATCGATGGTAGCAGGCGGCTAAGTAGTCCTCGACCACCAGGTGGCAGTATTCGCGCAAGCATCAGTCGCAAACGAGCCCTTTCCTCATCGCCATATTCTGACTCGTTTGATATTAATTCAATGATTCGATTTTCACCAAACTCATTAGCCACGATTATGAATGGCTCTAGAGGAAGCAGCTCAGCAAGCGGTTCTTACGGCCATATTTCAGCTAACGCCATTAACACCATGCCTCATGGACATTCTTCGCGATTACAACAGATCCAAGCCCATTTGTTGCGCGCAAGTGCAGGGCTTTTAAGTCCGTTGACCTCACAACAAGCAGCTACAGCCGGGATTTCTATAAGTCATGCTGCATGTGCGGCTGCTGGAAGCTTAAACGATGTTCATCGCAACCTAAACGATTTACCTAACCAAATAACATCTTCAAGTGGAAGGCTGGTTTCTGATGATCACAAGCATATATCATCGCTCTCGGTAATTTAGAAATAATTTTAAATGATTCAAAGTAACTCACTACATTTTTGTTTAGCAAAAAAACTTCGACAACGGAAATTCAAAAAATCGACAGTATAAAAATGTTGTCGCCGAGCAGCCTTCATCAACATCTGGCAGTGTGGCTCAAGTAGAAGCAGACAGTGCCTCATCACATTTGACGGACCAGTGTCACAAGAAATCATCAATCAATAGCAAAAGTGTTGCAGACGATGTGAAAATCAGCAATCGTTCTGAAGAATTTACTAGTCTTGGAACAGCTTCGACTCTGCTAAACGAATATGATTGTGCCAACGCTGATACGACAGATATAAAAGACGAGCCCGGAGATTTTGTGGAAACGAACTGTCATTGGCGTAGTTGTTGTATTGAGTTTATTACACAAGATGAACTTGTTAAACACATAAATAATGACCATATTCAAAACAACAAAAAAGCTTTTGTCTGTCGATGGGAAGATTGTACACGTGGTGAAAAGCCCTTCAAAGCGCAGTACATGCTCGTTGTGCACATGCGCCGTCATACTGGAGAAAAGCCACACAAGTGCACAGTAAGATATTTTACAAATTTTATATTATCAAATTTGTTGGCTTAATATTTTCTTTTGGGAAATAGTTTGAGGGTTGCTTTAAAGCGTACTCACGACTGGAAAACCTGAAAACTCATTTACGGTCACATACAGGCGAAAAGCCATATACCTGCGAGTATCCGGGATGTAGTAAAGCGTTCAGTAATGCCAGCGATCGAGCGAAACACCAAAACCGTACTCACAGCAATGAGGTAAATGTTGTTATTAAAAATATTATTTTAAAACTTACATACATATTTCTTTTCAGAAGCCCTATATTTGTAAGGCTCCTGGCTGCACAAAACGATACACTGACCCAAGTTCTCTGCGAAAACATGTAAAAACAGTTCATGGTGCTGAGTTCTATGCGAATAAAAAACATAAGGGCTTGCCCTTAAATGATGCCAACTCGCAATTGCAAAAAGACAGAGGCCCGGGTCGGCATCTTCAAGAACATAATATTGACTCAAGCCCTTGCAGTGAAGACCTGCAAATGGGAAAGATGCTAGGTATGTCTAGTCCCAGCACTAAATCTGAATCAGATGGAAACTCTCCACATCATCTGGTGAATGGAGTTCGAGCATCAGATTGTTTGTTAGCATTTTCACCACATGACGTTGTCGAGAATTTAACTTTAGAGGACAACTGGAATTGTGATGATGATGTGGACGTGGCTGACCTACCAATTGTTTTACGAGCAATGGTAAATATTGGGAGCGGAAGTTCGTCGACATCTACTTTAGGAGGTGGTGTAATGGCACGGCAGCGATTTAGAAGTCGTCTCCAAACTAAGGGTATCAACGCAAATACGGCTGTGCTCTGCAACATTCCAGAAAGCAATCGAATTATTGGAATCAATGAACTGAACCAGCGTATTACTGAATTAAAAATGGAACCAGGTTTAACTGGAGACATTAAAGTTCCTATTCCCCTGAATAGTGGCAAAGATGTGTTTCCAGAAGACTTGTCGTCACAAAGTCAAGTAAACTTTCGCAACGCAACTTTTAATAAACAAAGCTTTTCCATCATTCCCGGCTTAATGCAAGGGCAGCCTCGCCGCGATAGCCAAAACTCTAATACGAGTACATATTATGGTAGTATGCAAAGTCGTCGCAGTAGTCAATCATCACAGGTGTCTTCTATATCCACAATGAGACCAGAATCTTCTTACAACACAGCAACAGCTTCTTTTTATGACCCGATTTCACCAGGATGCTCGCGACGCTCTAGCCAAATATCAAATATAACCAACTACAATGCCGTTATTACGCAATCAGGACAAACTCCTATAAACAATGACTTGATTACAAACAGCAGCCCAAATGCTTCCATTATTAAACCAAATGTTGGTGCTCAGCGGGCTAATTATTTGAACAACAGTCTTCCTCCACCACCGTCGTCTCATTTAATTGACACTAATTTGAAACGTTTGCAGGAGACGGAGCCCAAAACATGTACTCAAAATTCAACAAGTGGTCGATTTTCAATATCCAATTTTATGCATTCTTCAAGCAGCAACAAACCGACCGATGAGATTGATTTCGAAAAATCAATGCCAAATAACACATTTCGACGTCAGTCTGAACCAGTGTCGAATGTAAGTTTCAATTCAGTAACAAATATCCCTCGATTTAGTACCCCAGTAAATAATTTTCAAACACCTGTTGGAAAGAGTAGACACAACAATACAAAAGCTTATTCAAACCTGGAGAATGATTTAAAGACTGTAAAAGGAAGTGTTCAAACGAAGTCTTACATGACTACTACAAGTGAAAAACATCCAAATGAAAGATTTAATTTAGATGAAGTTGAAGAGCTTATACTTCCCGATGAGATGCTTCAGTACCTAAATTTGGTAAAAGACGATACTAATCATATCGATAAGGGACATGAGCACCTTTTATCTGAAAACATGACATCTAGTGAAAATCGAGTACGCGTAGTGTCAAACTCAAATTCATGTAAGAAAGCGTTATCCCCATTAAGCTCAAACTTTGATGTCCTTATCGACTTACAACAAAGCTCATCAAACTTGTCAGAGAAAAAAGAATTTACCATTGATATTATAGAAGGCTTGTTCAGGCAAGAAGAACCAAGTACTGATCCTGTGCTACAGACAAAAGAGCTGACGAAATATAGAAGTTTTCCTCAAGGGACACCGAAAGATGTAAGCATGGATGTTGGTATCAAACAACAGCAACCATCACCATCGCACTATCATCAAGAAACCAATAACTCAAATCAAAATCAAATCATTGACTCATCAATGACAAGTTTACCAGAGCTCAATGTGACTTCAATATTTTCGCGCATTGACTCAGAAAAAGGTTCTAAAACTCATAGAGACCAAGAAAATGAGATTCAATGCGGCATTATAAGCCAGTCTCAAATGTCTCCTTCATTAAATATTCATAACGACTGCCAGATTTCCACCTCGAGGTTGGCTCCCCCTACAGCATTAAAGTTTTCATGTCAACCTCGAAATTTAGTTTGTGACACCCAAGCGAATAATATCAGTTCAATGCAGTCAGAAACGTACCAGCGTACTTTAGAATATGTACAAAGTTGTCAAAATTGGATGGAAACAAATAACTCAATTTCCGATCATGTTCAAGGCCTGCCTGGGGTGCCAGTAATTAATTCATTGTGGCCTGATGTAAGCAGCTCTACACACCCATATCCTGGAACAAATATGGTGATCAATGATATGACAACATCCCTATCTTCTTTGTTAGAGGAGAATAGATATCTTCAAATGATGCAATAGGAAAATATACTAGAGATTACTATTTTTCTTGCAGTATAGTGGTAAATGGAGATCGAAAATATTTATAGAGACGAAAGTCACTCATAAACGGAAATCTGAATTTTATTTCAATAAAGTAAAAAATTGTCAACGTCAAAATTTCCTAATAGACAATAGAAAAACAAACTGGAATTATAAAATGTTTTAGACTCACATAAGATGGAGTCGCCATTAGTTTTTTAAGTTTAAAAGATATCTTACTTTTGAGGTATGCGCAATAAATATGTCTTCCAAAACTATCTCAATTATACAATTATAATACATTTAAGTAAATAAAAAAATATATTTTTTCATGAAACACATGCATTTCAGTTAACTATGCGTTAAGTTTGGCTTGCCAGTAGCTAGTGGAGACTTATACCCTTGCAGAGCAAATATTGGTGCACCAACGATTAGTAATTTGAGTTTAATTTGCCCTGAAAAAAAGTTTATTTAGGGAAATCACAAAAAAAAAAAGCAAAATGGCAAGCTAAACCTATATGATATTGCCGATCTATTGGCGAATTTGTATATATGTGATCGGATCTAGATTGGTTGCATACGATTAATAACTGACTGTAAATACTATACGATATATGGTTCTATATAATTGATTTGAAAGATTTTATTCTTATTCTTATTTCTTCTTATGTTATGATCCCTACTTATCAATTACCGAAGATTTCTTTCCTGTTTTCCATATTAGAATGTTACCATCATCTGGATATAAAACTATTTCAAAAACTGGTGTTTTAATTAATTCATTCGGAATATGCGAAATAATAAGAATTTCGACAGAGTCTCTTTTTAACCAAATGGATGTTTTTACTTTCAATCGGAATTCATATCATTGGTTATTTCAGTTTCCGATTTTTTTTTCGTTTACACTGTGCACCCCTTCTAAAAAAAGAAAACAGCCTGTAAGGCCCTACTATGACCTCCAGTGTTGCCGTTTTAGGGTTTTTCCCCCCAGATTTGAGGTTTTTTGAATTGGGATTGCGGGAAAAATTTTAAAACAGCGGGAAGACGCTATTAAATAATATTGAACAAATTGAACTTCAGCACCAAAACGTGAGTATTATAAACTGGGAGAACAAGGACGATACATTATAGTTTTGGCTGGAAGTCAACGCATACAGCGATTCTGGTGGAAACCCGCGATTTAAAGTGCCTTGGTCGAATGCCGAGGTTGAGCGGGTTTTCAGACAGATCAACTTGATTAAATATAGGCAGAGAAATCGAATGAACATTGACACTTTAAACTCGATTTTAAGCATGACGTAAAATAATGAAGATATGTAATCTTAAAAAAAAAATTTACATTCTGTTACTCCACCCGGGAGCTTAGAGCCTCTACAATTTCTTGTAGAGGATTCATTATCATTGATTTTCGATCGTACCGGTGATAAGCCAGTAGCGACTTATCCTAGCGGTGGGGTTGCCACCTGGCGCCATCTAGGAGTGACGAAAATTCTATTGATGGGTCCATAGTAACGTAGACGAGGGGGTGTGCGGGTCCGGGGAGCCGAAATTTGTTACTAATGTTAAGTGAGCGATAGAGCATAGAAGTGGTGGAGATTTGGAAAAAGAGACCGTTTTCTTTTTTCTCGGGGAGCCTGGGGCTCGACTTGAACTCGGGCCTTCCGGACCGGAGGCCAGCGCTCTACCTGCTGGGCCACCGTCCCCCCAATCTTAATCTTAATCTTAATCTTAAAAATATAAACTACAAATTGTCACCATTTTAGATCCGGTTTCAGCGTCATGGCAAGTGTTGCCATAATTATAAAATACTTCCAACTTTCTTAAAAATTATCGGAACCACAAAAAATATAGATACAGACGAAGAGGCTGTCGATATAGACGATATTATTAAAAACTTTGAATAAAATTATATAAAAAGAATCTAGGGTTTTTTTTTTAGCTTTTTAACAAAGGTTTTTGGTGTTTTTGGGGGTGTTTTTTTTGCTAATCTAGGGTTTTTTGCACTAAAAATTATAGCAAAACTGATGACCTCCCGACTATGGTACAGTTATACAAGGTAGTCGGCTTTTTGAGAGGATGTTTTCCCGTAAGTGCGAAAGAAACAGAAACAGAGTGTGTTGTTTAACCCATATACTGTGCATAGGGTTTAAAAAGACTGTTATATGACAATGAGTATTAATAGTTCCTTAATTTTTGGTTTTTACCCAGAGCTGCCCTTTAGGACTCGCTCTCATATTGTTACCCTTTCAAAAAATTTTTGTGCAATATTACATGTTACGCATTGTATGTGCTTGCTGCAATAATTGGAACAAGTGTTTTTCATAAGCACGTAAGGCTTAAAGTTTTAAGAAAAAATCGTCCGCGTACGACCTCTTCCTTCGAAATCCCGAGCGCACTGAACCATAGGGGGAAAGAACCCGAACAATATTGCAGCCGACGGGACTACCTTGTATAATTGTACCATGCTCCCGACCTTTCCCCAACCGCAATTTGGGTTGTCCAAATTTATCATGATCACGGGCACTAACAAGACAATCTCCCAATTCTCTTGATCTGCCGTTCACCGCGCCTTAAAAATGTTATCAAAAACATTGTGTAGATTTCCAACCTAAGGGACGGAAATGCTGGTGAAAACATAAAGTGATGCCGAGCTATTTATAAAGACTTCTGAACTCACCGCAATTTGCAAGGTATTTTTCAAACTCCATGTAGCCTCAAACTCCGTTAAAGGAACAGTTTATGCCACAACCTCAAAGTTATAAACTATAAAAAAACGAACTCATGACCAAGCATAAATTCATCAGCCTCCACCAAACGGATTAATTCATGCATCTCCACCAATATGCATCCGATGACCTTTCTACCAAAAGTAATGTTACCTTTTTGGAAACCGATTTTAAAAGGGCATTCGGTCGCGTAGGGGTGCATAAAGTTTTGAAATAAAATTGCCAGTGGGGGATAGGTCAAAAGACCTCCAATTTGGTGACGGCTGATAAGCAATCGATCTTTCCGAGTTAGAGTTAACAACACAATTTCTTACACTGCACAACGGCATCCCGCAAGGATCGCATTGTTCATCATCGCCTTCTAGTCACTAAATAATATAATCTTAAAACATAAGCAAATTGAACGTTGTAATAAGCTTAGGATTAACATTAACATTCGACTAAACATAATCAATTTTTTTTTATATCGAAGCGGTCCTTCATACTTCCAACCACACTTTTACAAGCTACAAGAGTCTTGTTGCTTTCCAAAATCGAGTATGGACTACCCATATATGGCTGGTATGCTGGAATGTGAATCGAATCTTTTCCCCTTACCACGCTGGGGTCAGGCCATAAGGTGTGTTCTAGCAAGCTTATACCCAAACCGATGTGCTCCACTACCAAACAGATTATAATCATCGAAGTAAATACAAAATGCAATCTTCGATCAGAAGGTGGATATCCTTTGATATGAAGCACCACTAGAAACACCCTATCGTTGGAATAAAGTCAATCCTTCGTCTCCTTGGAAGCTATGTCCTAGCATCAAAGACATAACCATATTCGATTTCCTAAAATCAAATTCTTCCGCAACGACTTTCAAATAACTTCGAAAGAAACTAATCCACAAATACCACGAGCGGAAATGGCTTTTCACAGATGGTTCGAAGTCTGCAACCACTTTTGTGGTGGTAGACGAAATCGGATCGATCGTTCCCTGGGGTCTGATACCGCCACCCTTCCCAGTGCTTACTGCCGAAGCAATATGGTATGCCATAGAACTTAAGGAAAAGCACATCATCTGTAGTGACACTCTGTCCACCCTGCAAGGGGCTTTCAACTTTTACAATAACCACATCAGCTCTGCATCAAAAACAACAACAAAATTACGCTACTGTGGGTCGTTGCACATATAGGGATAGGCGGGAACGGGTTCAAATCAAAGGGAAATTGCTTGAAATCGAAATGGAAGAATGGTCCCCCTTTAACCACTGGTATAAAATCCAATCCAGAAAAAAACACGCCCATCTTCCACGGCTTTGCACAAGAAGAGAATGCGCCATTCCCATTCCCGGAAGGGAGCCAAACTACCCCGACTCCGAAAATTATCAGTCGAACAACTACGGGATGTATACAGTCACAACCGAAATTCACAGAACAAACATGTTCGCTCTCACCGACGCTTCACAACTACTAGCCAATCCAACTGCGATTAGAAGTAATCTAATTTTATCCTTCTTAGCCAAATTTCTTTTATTGTTACGGTATTTTATTTATCGAATCTTCTCTCTTCCATACTGTATTCAAATTAAATTTTTTAGAAGAATGGCCCTAGCTAGTTGCTGGGCGGCTAGTGGCTAGTGTTTCAGGTTAAAGACCGCACAAAGCTATTTGGATGAGCATATAGCTTGATGCATGAGTTACCGCCTCAACAATTAGCCTCGGCAGTCCCCTGCCAAAACCACCACTACTTTTATAGACGCCGCCTCAGCAAACACTTAAGCGGCCACCCGATCGCCCTACTAATAACCTACTAATAATCGAATCCCAAACTAATCAAAACAATAGCATCCGCTCCACTTATCCACTCTACTTAACTACTCCAATTATACGACCCACTTCAGATCCATAGAGTAAGCACTTTCCGTTAGATCAGCATTTTATGTTAGAATAAGAACCAACGAGTTGACAAAAGAGAAAATACAGAATCAGTCTGAATATTGAACTCAAACAATCCGGTCGTTTTATTCAAACATTACAAGTCAAAGTGACTCCCAACCAAAAATACCAATTCCATCTACGAACATATTATAACTCATGTAACTCATGTAAAAAAAAGAAATCGACAATGTCGACTTCGTCTTTAACAGATCCCACATTTAAATAGTTTTTAGTATCTTTGATTGTAGATAAAAGCCCCATTTTATCATGCTGTTGAATATCATGGTGGGAAGATTTACTGCACAGTTCGGGTATTTTATAATCATTTTAGGGGAGATTAAATCGTGTCCTGGCGCTTTCTTTTCCTCTCGAATCTTTATCACTCTTATCACTTCACTTGGTTCGAATATGAGCGCAAAGCTATTTGTTGATGGAAGTGGTTTGAAGACGTTTTCTAGATGTGCGCCAATACATTTTAGCTTACAGAAGTTGGGCCAAAAAAAATTTCAAATTTTAATTTTGAAATGTGGAATCGTTTAACCCCAGTTTGCCCACCTTTCAGTTTTTTTTTACCGTTTCAAAGATATGGAATTTCAAAAATTTTCGAAGAACAAAAATTTTTCAATTTTCAAATTTTTTTTTAATCTGTTAAATAATCGTTTGACCACGTTTGCCACCCTTAAGAATT